TCATTGAAAATATTCGCGGTCAACACGGCACGAAAGCGAATTTCTCTGCAGCACAGCTTGTAAACGGAATGCTTTTGAACTGCGATCATATGCAGCAAAAGCACTGTCACTTACTATTAGGAATGTTCACTATTCAAAAAACTCATCAATCATGGTGACTAGTGCTTATTTTCTGAAAAAAATCGTGGAAAATCTATCAGATGGGAATGAGCGATTGAAATCAATCGAACACAAATTGATCTCATAGTTAGGAAAACAAGTGGTGCACGACGACTAGACCAACCATGCGTTGACGTTCTTTGCGTTCGGCATCTTGTCTCTCGAACTCGAGACGTTCTTGCTCTTTGCGCAGATTCTCGATTCGCTCCTTCTCNTCTTGAAAACACATATTGTTAATCTCAAACGATGCAACTAAGTCTCGATGAATTTCTATTGATAATATTAATCATTCATTTGCGATGCATAATTATGAATGCATAATCTAGCTTATATGCATAATATTATAAATTTCTTGAATGTTTCAGATTAAATGTGCATAATTTTGATAAGATCATGATAGTGTGATCATGCACTGCACCCAAAAATCACAATTAGATGTTTCTGCATTTAAGAAGTGACAGCACTATAAAATTCCCCACCTTCGTTCCTGCTCTCTACGGCGCCTTTCTCGATTCTCTTCTTCAAGACGTTCAGCTTCATGTAACTCAGCTTCTCGTCTCTGAGCCTCAAGCAACTCTTGTTCGATTCGTAACAACTCCTTCTTCTCTCTAGCGATTCTCTCGTGCTCCAGACGCTCTCGTTCCAGTCTTTCAGCTTCTTCACGTTCCTTCTCCTTCTCGATCCTTTCACGCTCCTGTCTTTCACGTTTAATCCTCTCAATTCTCTCGATCTCCAGTCGTTCAGTCTCGATTCGCTCTCGTTCTCGTCTCTCACGTTCCTGTCTTTCCTTCTCAGCCTTTTCCCTCTCGAGACGTTCCCTCTCCCGTTCCATTCGCTCTCTTTCCAACTTTTCTCGTTCTTTGCGTTCCTCTTCCAGCCTGAGAGAAAACTTTTTTGAGAATTATTCATCATCGGTCAAGTGAGAAGAATATTGCTAATAATGAGAATCGGACGGAATTCCGGAGAATCTTGACGATATCGAATGAAGTTTGACAAATCATTGAAACATTTTGTCCGAACTCTCAACAATCTGTAAAATTACGGAGAGAAGCAGCATGAATTGAATGTAACTAAAACTCAGCTCATCTTCCATTGTTTATGGAACAGAAATAAAGGTCATGAAAGCAAAGCACAGTCTTTTTTGTTCAGGAAGTCAGCATCGCAGCCTTGGCAACTTAATGCATTTCACTGATGAACCTTCATAATGCAAAGCATTGAAGTTCTAATCGCCAAGTGTATAATATGATTAAAATGCGACTGTTTAGAAACAAGACGTTTAGCATCGTATTCAAAACAGTGTCCCTAATGTGAAAATGTATGGTATATTGTATCTCATCAACAACGCTCAACAATTATGAAACGAAAGATATCAATCTGGAGAAAAGCACAAAAAATACAACACGAAATCCACTATTACCGTATTCTCTCCAGTCTATCCTTCTCTAGTGCTCTACGTTTCTCCAATTCTCTCTCTTCCAACATTCGTCGTTCCTTCTCGAGTCTTTCCCATTCCTCACGCCGTTGCAGTTCGGCTTTCTCGCGAACTGCTCTCTCCCTTTCAAGACGATCGAACTCTTGACGTTCTCGTTCTGCTCGCTGTGATTCGAGTTCACGATGCTGAAAGCATTTATGGGATGCTCAGGACAGTTCGTTTAATATGAAGCTTAGATTTGGGATTGAGTTCATAAGAGAAGCAAAAAAATATCAAGAATTTGCTCGAGTCATCTATGAATTGCACCGAGTTTGCATCGATTGGCTCGTTTTGAAAGTCTTGATTTACTGGTGAGTGGACGAGTATTGCTGCATGACTGAGAGTTATGTGTTGTAGTATTAATCTGATTCTGTGTGAACAAATGACAGTATGAATGCTCAATCCATCCTCATAATATTTTCACTACAGCGATATTGCGATAACGTTTCGGAGAGTTCGCAGCTATTTCTTAACACTTATTGCAAAAGCCTATCGCTAAGTGGAAAAATACATCGAACAGTGCCCCAAAACTCTCAAATTTTTGATCGAAAAGTAACTACTACCTTTTTTTCCCTTTCCCTTCGAGTTCTTTCAAAATATTCCTTCTCTTTAATTTCCCACAGTCTGCGCTCTTCCTCTTCACGACGTCTTCTGTCCTCCTCTTCCAATCTTCGTTTCTCTTGATCGTCCTGAATTCGTCTCTCCTCCTCTTCGATATTCTTCACATATTTGTAATTATAATCGACCGTTCGTTCCTCTCGTCCGTTCGGATAATAGCGATCCGTTGACGGATAACGTTCGTGCTCAATGAAAATGGGTGAACTTCTGGAGAGTGGAGGCGCTGATAGTGCCTCGTTTGAACGTGTTATGTACGTTCGTGTCATAACCTGAAAGATTTGAATTTATCGAAGAGGTATTTGATTCGACGATACTCGTCCACACATTCTCGAGAACACAAACATCATGCACTGCTTTCGAAGAGACACTCGCTGGATACGAACACATGACAGAAAGCACCTCTTTACGATAGTATTCCTGTTGATGGAAATTATCATTAGGTGTTGTTGAGGTGCGATACTCAACGGTGGTGGTTGATGAGGGCGGCATTGAGGTGATCATGTCACGTTGCACCGGAATATCACGCATTGTCAAGTGAGAACGAGGCTCTGCAATTCACTTTCTCATTCTTATAGAACCATTCAAAAATGCAGTGTAAAACTTGACTGGTAGCAAACTCGTTAACTTTTAACTGGCACAAACTCGAGAATTAACTTTTAAAAGATGCGCGATTCGATGAATCGGCGAGAACTTCAGGAAAAATGCAAAAATCAGATGATGTGTATATGTGTGGAAATGTGAAAAGAAGATAACCTGATCTTATATCGAAATCGTCGCGAGACATGTCCGTTTCACGCTGATCAATGATTGAGCCCTGATGATTCTGCAATGCAATGAATATTANTTTTCAAACTTCTCGAAAACTAGACTTTGTGTGCAGCAAATATTTCAACGATATAGTTGCTTGTTGTTCGCAAGATCGATTGATCGATGCCACGCTGATCATTTTGTAACGTTAACGCCAAACACATTCGAAATTCATTTCAATGAAATGAATTAATTAAGCAAGTCGATTCATCGCGTAAAGCATAGACAGACACCAATAAAATCCCAAAAACGATTATGGAATACATTCAATGAAAGGAACAACGAATGTTACACTTTGGGAATTGTCAAATTATGATAATACGAAGAATTATGATCGATAATCTGATTGCATTAATTCAAAATTTTGCGTTGTTCAACGTGAGGAGTGTCGTACGTGATCAACAGTATCGCATCGTGCATAAGAAAATGAAGTCAAGTTAATGAACTGTTGATGAAGTGAAGCAATGAGAAATGAGGTGAACGTTGAGGCAGTAAATTTTGTCGGTGCTGCGATTGTGCAATACATTCAGTTAGAGACGAAAGGTATGCGATGAAGCTGATACAATTAGTTACGATTGGAATTTCGTGTGACATTGGTACATTTCGACATTCTTATCGCTTCGTTGTTTACTATGAACCGTCAAAAACGCTGATAATAAATGCTCAAATATGACTTGCTTCTTATTCACCGCTTGAAGACACTGCAGAAAAAGTGAATGAAACGCTGACCATCCATAAAACTTTACAGATAACAATCAGAATTTTATTTGCACACGACGGAAGCAAGAGGAAGAGGAGTTGTAAAAGAATTACTTGGAGTCACCTCGTAGGAGGAAACTTTTATCAAACCACTTGAGGAATGCGAACAATTTTTGATAGGCAATAAAAAAATTCTTCACCGGATTTCTGTACACTGTCTGATATTCTCACTCAATGTGGATACAGAAGCATTATTTCGTTGGATATTGAATGCGATAAAACCCTCATACAGGGAGATCCAACTCGGCGCACGTATCCCTTGACTCAGGGTATTTCATGTTTCTCTTGTAGTTAAGGTATTCTATTCCCAGGAACAAAACAGATCAGATTTAAAAAAAGGCGAACACAGCAGAACTATTGGAGAACAGAGCAGTACAGAACAATTTGAAAGTCTGGGGTGTGGAATCAAAATGGAACAGCTTTGAAGGTGGAAAACAGCACGAAACGACTTTTAGAATACGAAAGTAGAGAAGAGAACAACCGAAGGATGGAACAGTACAATTTTTAAAAAGGAACGCGCGGAACAGAACAGAACAGAATGGTTTTCCAAAAGAGTGGAACAGAAACATGACTGATTCGAATGAACATCAGACAAACGCTGCAGTGCAAAATGACTGATGCGCTCGACCGGTCACGATGCAGGATTGAGTTCTGAGGTGTGCTGAGAGTGAAGAAAAGAGAATTTAGAGGACACGACAATCACTGCATTGATCACGCATACCAAGGACATTGCTGCTGCAAACTATGAATTATCAGCATTTTTTTCATATGCGAAGCNTCAGTGAATGGATCTTCTCTCTTGGAATTCATAATGTGATTACTTCAAATGACGTTCTCGACCTTATTTTTCGATTGTCATGGATTAGTATATGACGAATTGAATAGAGTGAAACTAATTTCTCATAATAAGAAATATTTCTCATGAAGGTTTTTTGCACAAAGTACGCCGAGTTCTCTGCATTGCTCAAAAATATGAATCATGGAGGAAACTTTTTGTTTAATCTATTCGGCGATTAGAGGGATGAAGAGGCAGTTGGCAGAAGGTACTTTGTGAAAGTCAAAAAATACAAAAATTTCTAGCAAAAAATTATCAAATCAGGAATTATTTCGTTTCTGAAAAGTGGCTATCATCGGAAATAAGAAAAGGAATGAGCAATAGTGATGAATGCGATTGATGATAATAACATACATACAGTTATAATCGTTTCGAGTTGAAGTGATAATTGGGTAAAACTGAAAAATGAATTTTTAATGATAAATATTATTATTCTAGCTGTGGTGATCGGTGATCACCGCAGCTAGAACAATAATATTTATTGCTGCGATCGGATTCATGCAAGAACAGCACAAAAGTCACATCGATCCCACAATTTCATGACCGAGGCAACTTTACGATTTGTGAATTTCAATTTCAAATATATTGCTCAATACGAACACATATTCCGATGAGCACTTGCTTGAAAATAAGCTTTACATGATGTTACAAATAATGCTGAGAGCAGCCGTGCTGCGTTCGTATTGATTGGTCAATTCAGAAACATAATAATGAGAACAATCAAAAAAGGTCAATGAGTTCAACGAATTGAGATATATTGACGGACAACAGAACAGGAAGGGAGCGAGCAGTATTAATGTTGACTGATGTTGTTGTTGTTGTCATTACTATTGTGATTATGAACGTTGCTCAGGTGGATGTATGAATGGTGAACAGGATGAATGAATTGCAGTTATGGGACGGCGGATAAAGGATACATACGTATGCTCTAGATATGGCAATAGAGCACAACGAATATGATGACAAACGGCGGGATACAGCCAATCCGATCGTGACTCGACTGTACGTTTCACGTTTCACACACTGAAACTAACAAACACAAATCCTCCTTCTGATCCTTCCTTCCGTTGACTAGCGCAGAGATGTACCATAGCGCAAATCTCCACGTATAAATGTCACCTAACCCTCCAATTGTTTGTGCAAACATACCACAATTACGACCAGGACAACAATTTACCGTTGTTACGCTCTTAATTCTAACCTCTCATATACGTAAACAACAAGCCACTCGATCCGATGAAATTCTATAACCTCGTTACAAACACAGTAGCTACAATTGCTCATTACAATTCATATAACCGTTAAGGTTTCTTATAGAAACTGAAGATGCTTAAGGAAACTGTGAGTTTAGGAATCAGAAGAATTGCAGTTGATTCGAGAAAGTGTTGGCTGAATTGGTTTGTTGAAAAGNGTCTAGGAAGCAGAAACGACAACATCACATCGTTGACATGTTGCCTTAGAAGGCTGCTTCATCGAATTTACAAATGACTATAATTCTTCAAAGTAAACGCGCTTGTTGCTACCAGATGAAGCCATTGAATTGACTCTGCTCTATTGTAACGAAACAATCGTTGATGCCAATAAACACGATGAATTAACCAAAACGATCGTATGCAACGAATGAGCCACTCAATTTAGATTAGCAATCGTCTGTTCACGAACTATTTTATGACAGCCATTAGCACAGCAAAAACCCAGAGTCACTACTAAAGAGTTCGTTGATGAATTGTAATAACGCTGATCGCTATAAGAAAACTAAATGAGAATCGTAAAAGTATTGTGCATTAAATCCACAACTGCACACGACAAAAACCGAATGCAAACAAACACATCAGAATTATCGTCGGTATAATCGACGAAACAGGTCATCGAAGTCGCAAAAACTCACATGTAAACAGCTGTCATCTTTTATACTACAAAACTCTTAGCCAAACAATTTCCTCTGAATACTGAACAACATTCATTTCCTAATTACAAACTCAAACATCCAACACAAATACGAGTAAACAAGCTAATGCGTGAGACATGTTTTCGAGGAATCAACTAGAGCAAAAGAAAACGTTTATTACTATCAGGAATTCATT